AAAATCATTGCTAAAGGGGAGATCACTGTTAAACATGTTTCAATCTTTCCTTTCTGAATCACACCTCACCATAACTAAATAGTTTATTAAATCATTTTTCCTTATTAAAGTACTCCATTTAAAACATAAAGGAGAAATGACAGACTTTAATTTTACCACTCTGAAAGAACTTTAGGTTCTAGACAGTGATGCATAATGGCAATTGTTTATTAAAGTGCATAGACTCAGCTGTAAAGTGGCTTTGCATTTCCCCCAAATAAACATTAATTTCAGTAAGTCTTTGGATCAGTCTACCAGTTTCTACAAAATACATACCTGTGATGAATATCAGATGTGAGACATACATGTCATTTGCAGAACTCCAGCCTTCTGAAGTACTGTGACAAAAAAAAAAAAATTGGTCTTTTAACAAAACTTTTGCTAGAATATAAAAGATGTTGGTCAGAGAAGCAATGGAATACAAGATCCAAAGGATCTATAAAAGTTTCTTATAAAAACAGTTCGAGTAGTTCATACATGAATATTATGTGTTTTGATCAAATTCACCCTTCTTTCCCTCCCCTCTAACTCCTTGGATACCTTCCCATTCCTTTCCCCAGACTCACTGAGCCACTTAGTGCTGACAGCGTGCACATGGGTGTGGGACCACTACGGAAGCAAGGGGAGATTCTCAATGGCTGCATACAAACTAAGTTGCCCTGCCTCAGTAGCTATCAGTTGCCAATGGCTCCTCAGATACAGGTGGGCCATCCTGAACTCCTCCTTCCATGACTGGATCTTAGCTGACTTGATCTTCTACAGATCTTATGCACACAGTCAGTGCGATAGTGATTCACGTGTGAATGGTCTTGTCATGTCTAAAAAACATTGTTGTTATGCAGTTATTCACTACCCCCAACTCTCACTTTTTTTTTTTTGAGACAGGGTTTCTCTGTAGCTTTTGGAGCTTGTCTCACCATTTTTATGCCCCCTCTTTCGTGATGTCCTTGAGACTTGTAGAATGTGTGTGATATAGATGTTCCATTTGGAGCTGAGCGCACCACACTTTCTTATTCTATCTATGCATGCTGACCAGTTGTGAGTTCTTGCTTTAATCACTATCTACTAACAAGGAAGTTAATTGATGAATGAGTCCCTATTGGTAAAGACACCAATGAAAAGAAAGTTCATTAATGAGGGTTGAACCATGCACTAATATATATTAAAATAAGAACTTATGGGACAATTTAATACTGTGTTCATTTAGCAGAATAAAGTATTGGATTCTCTCATAGGCCTAGGGACTAGCCAGACAGGTGGTTTGTCCCAAATTAATATTATTAAGCATGCATTCTGTCTTATGGAGTTGGCCTTAAATACAGTTATAGAGAGGTTGGCTACTCCCATAACATTCACGCCGTCTCTGCACTGTTGGGCTTACCATGTCAGAATATTCGCTATGGTAGCTTGCAGGTTCCACAATCAGGCAATACTGGGGATTAACTTTTTTCTAATCCTAGAACTCTTAGACCATTGCAGAACTGTGCAGGCTATCCAGTAATGGTGAAGCTTCCAGGTTAGTACCAGTTTGTTTTCTCCATGCCCTATGACTCAAATTCCTGGTGTGGCTTTACCAATAGGCATTTACCATCTAGTTTTGGAGGTAATGGCAATAGCTTTTTTTTTTTTTTTTTTTTGTACTTTCACTCTTTTATTTTGGCAATAGCTTGTAATAGACCAAAGGTGGGACGGTCTATGGAACCACATTTACAAATGACTTGAAAGTAGGTAACCCCATATGTGTCTCTGGGATTTTATTTTGATAGGCTATGTTGTCTGTAAGAAAAAAAAAAGAAGAGGAAAAAATCCCCTCTTATAGAATGATTAAACACCTTTTATATATGACACACACGTCTAAGTCTATGACTGTTTTAGGAAGTGTCTACTGTGGTGGTTTCCATTTGAGTTTTCAAAGGTCTTTCATGTTAGTTATGTGTCTTCACACTCTTTCCACTACCCTGACCTCCAGGGTCATACAGTAAGTAGTTCAATTTAAAGAAAGGAATATTTGTGTAGTATGGAACTATGGACACTGAGTCTGTATTTGGCGAATATTGCTAGTGTGAGTTATACAGATCAGAAGCTGACATTGTTAGCTCCTTTTTCCAGTGAGGCAACTCATATTGGATACAAATAGAAGAAAGTATTCTTCTCATGTATATTTACACTTCAGTATCAAGTAAAATAGAAAATAAAAACTATAAAATAAAAATGATGTATAAATCTCATCATTTAGACAAAGTAACTTTTTGGCAGAGAATTTTATGCATGAACCATCAGTTTATTTTCTTTTTATTTTGTATATATTATGTCTTTTAAAATATATCCATTATATGTACTCTGTGCATACACATACATGCACATGTACACATGTTTTTGTGTGTTGTGCGTGTGTGTGTGTGTGTGTGTGTGTGTGTGAGAGAGAGAGAGAGAGAGAGAGAGAGAGAGAGAGGGATTACCACTCTGCCGGTTAGTTTTTTGTAAACGACACAAACTGGAGCCACCTGGGAAGCGGGGGGGGGGGGGACTTCAGTTTATAAACTGCTTCCATCAGATTGACCTGTGGGAGTATCTGATGATGTAATGAACATGCAACCTAGTGAATTTCACATGCGTCACGGCTAGACTTGTTAAGGTGAGCATAGCCAGCTCAGAACTATGCCATGCTATGACACAGGAAACAATAGCCACAGAAACCCAGCTGTGAGTCTCTGTGACATGTGGCTGAGTTACCAGGAAGGTTTTTGTATTTTAAACAATCAGATAATGCTAAGAATCCAAGCATTCTGTGTATCACTAAATAATATTATGCCTGCATATTTTTAATTAAATATTTTCAAAAAATTAAACACTCATCTTTTCCCTTTGAGAGTTAAGAATCCCAAGTAGGCTTCAGATGTGATGAGCTAAAGAAGGAAGATGGTTCTTAGCAATCAGACTTGACTGCTGGCCAGCTGAGCATGTCGCTTCTTGCCATGGCCTCTTTTCCCTTTGCTTATTAATCCCCTGCATGTTGGGACACTCTTGTTAGCTTGTCACCGCTGACACTCGCATCTGTCTGTTCTGTGGATAAAAATCGCCTAACTCAAGCCTTAGTAAAAAGGTTTGCTGTCGAGACTGAATTTAGTAAAAGAAATATTTACACTTAGAGCTTAGTGTGGCAATAGGAGAGGAGAGGGAGCCCCTGGGTGTGTCAGCAGGTGAGCGTGCAACCAACAGTAGAGTGTAGCATAAGTCTGTTCCACGGGCTATTTTTCCCCTGACTTGTAGTTATACGTATGATTGGATTTTCCCTTCTTTGGGTATCCCATTCTCACCGTCCTTAGTGGGTCAGCAGCAGCTCAGCCCATGAGCAAGGACGTTTTCTGCTCCACTGCTGGGAGCAGCGTGAGGTGTGAGAGACCTTGGGTGTGATTACATACTAACTACCCAGGGAGGCTCACTGAAAGATCTCCAGAACACAGGGGATAAAATTTGCTTTTGGTGCAGTTGGAAGGATTTCAAATGGAAGTGTCTCTACCCAGCAGCTTTCCTGGTGCCCTTTAAACCTGAAGCAGCGATAGCCAGCCAGACATCCCGTCAAGGTATAGAGGATACATAATTCCTAAAGATAATACCAAACATTCACATCTCAAAGTTTGAAAAATCACTTCCTGCATTTGTCATAATTTCCCAAGAGCTTAAGTTCTGATATCTTCACTGTGACTATGAAATTTGTTTATTGAACCAGCGAAGATCAGGGACCATCAGTCTTCATTAGACCATCACCTCCTTAGACTAATGCTTTGTTGATATTCTTATTCCTTATTGTTTATAAATCCCCCCTCAACCTGTAGGATCTGTCCTGTCATTGGTGATCAACAGTTACTCCTGAGCAGAGAATTCATCACCGTGAATTTATATGCTTCCTCGGGTACTGCTTGCAGGCACTTAGTTCTTTAATGCAAATGAAACTTCAAAATATGATTTCAGTGATGTTAGGAGAACAGAAACACATCAAAGCAGTATTGCTTTAGATAGCTTTGTCGTGACAGTACATCATGCCTGAGCCACAAGCACAACAAAACAAATCCCCACTGGAGAAGAGAGTCTTTACCAAGGTGCTGTGCATCTAAGCAGGTCCCCATATCTCTGCTGGAGGCTCTGCTTATGCTAAGCAGCCAGGAACCATGTGCCTGTGTCTCATTCCGTCTCCCAGTCCCCAGCTCCATTCTCCTTCAAATGGAGAGCTGGGATCTGCTCATACAGAGGGCATCACAATGCCAGTGACCTCCAATGTCTGTAGATTTGTGAATGAGTTCCTGCCATAGAACTAGTCCATGCATTCTCCCCCAGACTCAGGCTTCCCCATCATACCTGGTGTCCTAACAGGCTGAACTGTTCCCCATCCACAGAGATTAATCATTTGTTTCTGCTTGATGATGTGATCTTGTTCTCTTTCCTATTTCATTTTGTCCCTGGAGAATTCTTTGTAGAGGTCACCTAAGCATCACTGTTCCCTACTTTCTTCCTAAGGAATGGAAGCATAATGGCAACCTAGTAGGGTTTGCCTCCTACTCTATCCTGTATGTGTAGTTGGTGTTTAACTTTAAATTTATGTGTGCTTTGCATGTGTGCTCGTGTGTGCACACAGGTGCACTCTCTCATGTAGGCATACATGGAAGCCAAGGTTGACATTGTCTTTCCTCAATTGCTTGTCTACCTTACTTTTGAGACAGGTTGTCTAAACAAACCTGAAGCTCGTCACCTTGGTAAGACAGGCTGGCCAGAGAGGCCTTCCCATAACCTCAGATTGGCCTATGTCTGGCTCCCAGTGCAGGGCGTTCTCACACTAGCCACCATGCCATGGTTCTATTTGGGTGCTGGGGATTCGAACTCAGGTCCTCCTTCTTACATGCAAGCATGTTGCCCACTGAGCCATTTCGCCAGCCCTGATACTTACTTTTCTAATGCTGTTCCAGGTATTCCTTCCAAGATGAAGAGGACATGTTCATGGTGGTGGATCTGCTACTTGGTGGGGACCTGCGTTATCACCTGCAGCAAAATGTCCACTTTCAGGAAGACACAGTGAAGCTCTTCATTTGTGAGCTGGCCATGGCCCTGGACTACCTGCAGAGCCAGCGCATCATCCACAGGTCAGCCAAGTCCAAGGAGACAGTCTGCGGCTTAGACAAGATGCTGCGCTGAGCAAAGTTTTGCTCATCACAGTATTTAATGCTCATTTAGCTGTTGTAGCAGTCCTTCGGGGTCGGTTGGCTGCCCCTGTGGGTGGTTGGCATATAGAGGTTCATTTGCCCAAGGTCACAGTAAAGGACAAGACTGAAAATCACTCTCAGTGTGTATTGGTACTTGGTTATAAAAATGGATCTATAAATAGAATGTATGGTGACAGGTGAGATCTTAAATAGTAAATTACTTGATTCAAATACAAGTAGAAACATGCAGAGGGCAAGATAAGAAAGAAAATTCTTATAGGAAAAAACTTGGTTTAACATCTTCCTTCCTGTCATGACAACTGTATTGAGTCCCCCATGTGTCCATTGCTAACAGGAGCAACAAAAACACCGAGTCTCCTGCACTTCAAAAATTTGCTTAAGAAAACAAATAAGGGGTTCTAAGGGGATATGTCCATTAGACAGGAAGGGGTACATTACAATTGTAAAAGAACCAGTAGCTTTAATGATGATCTCGTATACTATATTTATCTCAAAAACAACATGGATAAAGAGTCAGAGTAGCTATTATTAGACCTGTATTAACTTAAGAAAACCATGATTTATAAATATGAAATTATAACCTAGGTTTACTAATAATCAAATCACCATCATATCTGTTACTTTTACTGAGACTTACTTTGCGCTGTGCACTGGGAGACATTATTTTATTACTGTTTTAAATGCTTGGGAATCAACAAGGACTTCCCATTTGATCGTAGCATCCCCCATTGTATCGAAGAAGAAAGTGGTTCAAAGATTTGCTGATGGTTGGCAGTGTCAGGATCTAAAACTGAATTTCTCCAACCCCAAGTGTGTGAGAGAGAAAGACGTGTTATATAAGAGCACTAAAAATGCATGTGAAATTCATACAGCAATTACACATCATTAGATAAAAGCCAATACAGATAATCTCGCTGCTGTCCTCTCTTCTCTTTGAAGAATTGACGGAAGGTTTTAGTACAGTTGTGGCTCAGTTAGTATAGCCTGAATTGGATGCCTTTAACTTTTCTGGATCCACTCTGAGCCTGTGGATGAATGGGTACCACCAAAATTTGCAGGCACATGAACTAATCCCTTTTCTTTCCTGGCTTTTAGTGGGTAGACTTAAGTAACTGTTTAACTATCCTTCTTTGGTGAGGCTATTTGTATTGGAAATGTGCTCTTTATGTAATAGTTAAATGGAAAACTAGCCAGTTAATCACACAGGACTTCAGACGACAATTTACACACCTGGTGTTGTGTGGGTAATTGGAGATCTTGTTTTGAAGGCCAGGCTTGCTGGCTCTTGGCAGCTCTTTCTGGGAAGAGCTTTATTCCAAGAGGAATCAGGCAGGAAGTTCACCTAGAACCAGGAAAAAGCTCATTCCTAGGCTTTGACTGTTGCTCTGTCTCTTCCTCCTTCACACCTCACTATTCTCATCAGATTGGGGTTACTCAAATCATGTCGCACATGAGAGATGAACCCCTATTTCCAAATTTTTACACTCCCACAGTCTTTACTTCCTGTCCACTTTCAGAGGACCTGTTTGTGCTAGAACATCTTCTCACATTGAGATGTATTAAAAAAAATGTGGGCATTCTGGATGCATGGAAACAAATGGAAATGCTGTCCTTCTGGGGTCACAGAACAATTCAAGTGTGTTTTTGCTGCCTGTGGGCCCCACTCACCTCTCCTGCACTGCATTTTGTGAGCCATCTGCCATTTTGTACTTCTGAGAATCTCTGACACTTTTTGATATTTGAGTCCTTCTATTCCAGGAGTGAAGCCATGTCTGTTTAGCTTCCCATTGCCTTGCTATTACTTGGCAAAACTATGGAGGGATAGATTCTAGCTAAGCCACGCAAATGGCTAACCAGAAGCAAATAATAACTACACATTTAGCATCTGGAGCATTCGAGCTCGAGGGGTACCTCAGAAGGTAAGGGCACTTAGCAGAGACCCTGAGCTGAATTCCCAGCATGGAAGTCAGTAATGTTATAACTACTTTAAGCTCTAGCTCTAGGAATGTCTGATGTCTTTGGCCTTCAAAAACACAGCATCCATACACACTTGTACATCTACACAGACATACACCTACACATGATCAAGGAAATATATCTTTAAAAAAATATATGGTGGGGGCTGGAGAGATGGCTCAGAGGTTAAGAACACTGACTGCTCTTCCAGAAGTCCTGAGTTCAATTCCCAGCAACCACATGGTGGCTCACAGCCATCTATAATGGGATCTGGTGCCCTCTTCTGGCATGTAAGCATACATGGAGGAATGTTGTATACATAATAAATAAATAAATCTTTAAAAAAATATATATGGCACATTAAAGGCAAAGATTTCAACCTTTCATTATCTTTATGTGGGGCTATACAATTTGTCATTAGAACAGTGTACTTCTGAGAGCTAAATAGGGTGTTAATAACAATAATATTGGATGTGATTGTCTTCACAATACTTGAACAGATGACACCAATTGACATGCTAGCATGGAAGGAGGGAATCTCATGGGTCCTCAAAGAACTAATAAGGAATGCTGAAAGCAGGAGAAATAGTGTTCCCCAGAGAAGAGCCCCCAAGTTGGTTATTCAATACCAAGTGGTCAGCCTAAAATCATATACATAGACATAACATCATACAGACTGAGTAGGCTGTATCTCTATATTTAGAACTATACACACACATAAATAGATATATAAGTAACGACAATTAAAGGAACTGAGGCCATGAATTTGAGAACTAGTTGGGGTACATAAGGAAGGTTGGGGGTATGAAAGGGAAGGAGAAATGATATATTTAACCTCAAAAAATTAATAATAATGATAAGATGATAGTCCAAGCTCTCATGTGTTCCAATAAATTAAAGACATATTATCAGTGTTAAAGTTTATGACCCCATACATGGCTAATTAAGGAATCTTCTTGTGTCTAAGGAATGTAAATGATAGATAGCAATAGTGTTGTTCTGAGAATATGGCTCATGTGGGGTATGAAGCTGAGAGATGAACTCAGAACAATTTGGGCTTCTGAGTTCTAGGAATCCCATTATAAAATCTCCTTTTATTCTTCATTTATTACAACAAATATTTATCCATTCTGATGGTTCAGCTCTTTCCCAGGGTGTTTAGTGATATGGGTTTTTTTTTCATGGAATAAATTGAAATTAAAACCATAACTCTTTAAAAAAATATAACTTCCTTCAGAAGGATCAATAAAATAAATACTCCATTTGATTGATGCTAAGATGACAGAATAAACCATAATTTTTACTACTGAGAACGTTGTGAAATATAAAACTGACATCCTGAATTCTGAGACGTGAAATGTGTAAATGAAAAAGAACGGATGAAATATGATAGATTTGCCCAAGTGAGCAGTAACCAGTTGCACGGAATGGTAGCTAAAAAATACAGAACTTCTACGTTTAGAGTGAACGCCTGTTTTCCCTTCACGTATAGCAGATGATTCGAAATGATCCTAAGTAGTCAGGGAATATGCATGGAGCAAGGGTAGTGCCAGCCCACCATTTACCAGTGGCTTCCAGTCCAGGGACTCTTCTAGAACTTGTAAATGACTGCGCTCAGTCTTCCTCTAGTTATGGAAGTTTCATGGTATTACTATCCCCATTTGACAGTCCAAACTCCAGTTTAAAAAATTAAGGCTCTCGTAGGTGAAGCATCAGATTGAGGAAATGCAGAGCTCTTGACCACACTGTGTTCCATGAGGTTGAGAGTTCCTGGGGCCTGAGCAGAGTGTGGAGTGAGGTGAGCATGGCCACCTACCTGCAAGCACCCGTATTCCAGCCACACAGGCAGAGATGGCACCCTGAAGCCACCAGGTCAGGGAATGACCTAAAACCAGAAGCTAAACTTATGAGAAAAGCTGGAATACATCACAGAAGGTGTTAGGTAAGGAAACAGCTTCAGAAGAATTCAGAGGATTCAAGAGGTTTAAATGACCAAAGCAACAATCAGACCTAGAGCATGTAGCAGGGACTGAGTAAGACTGCGGGGATGGCTCAGTCAGTAGAACACTTACTATAGAAGGATGAGGACATACGTTTGGATCGCCAACACTCACATAAAAAATTCACACATTTAGAATCTCAGTCAGTGGGGACAAGTGATCCCTGGAGATCACTGACAAGTTTTCTGAACTGGATTATTCCAGGTTCAGTGAGATACCTACCTTGTCTCAATACATCAGGTGAAGAGTAATCAAAGAAAATGTCTAATTTCAACCTGTTACCTCAACAAGTACATGTATCCATAGAATACAGAAACTCTTCCCCCACATGAATACACTGTCTTAGTTAGGGTTACTATTGCTGGGATGAATTATGACCAAAAGCAAGTTGGAGAGGAAAGGGTTTATTTGGCTTGTACTTACACATCACAGTTTGTCATCAAAAGAAGTCAGGGGAAGAACTCAAGCAGGAAAGAAAGCTGGAAGCCGAAGCTGATGCAGAGGCCATGGAGAGGTACTGCTTACTGGCTTGCTGTTCTTGACTTGCTCAGCCTATTTTCTCATAGGAATCAGGACCACCAGTCTACGGTGGCCCAACCATAATGAATTGCGCCCCCCCTCTTCAGACCCTAATTAAGAAAATGTACTACAGGCTTGCCAGCAGCCCATACTTAGGAAGACATTTTCTCAGTTGAGGGTCCCTCCTGTTTGATGACTCTAACTTGTGTCAAGTTGACATAAAACTGACTAGTACACACACACACACACACACACATTGGCATCCCTGCCAATGATCGTGCCTTATTTTTCTAAAACACTGCATCTCCTTTCTTTTCCATAAACTCCACGTGGGATATAAAAGGGTCCTTGTCTTATTTTATTGAAAGAAATTTTCAGCTCATAGACTTGAATTTTTAAAGTTCCCTTAATATGCAGAATATTGAGCTAATTTTCATCAATTTC